AGAGACAGAGCAGTAGAGACGGAGCAGTAGAGACGGAGCAGAAGAGACAGAGCAGTAGAGACAGAGCAGTAGAGACGGAGCTGTGGTTCCTGCTGACACACATGGACGTCTCCATCTGTTTCTATATCATCAAGAACTGATTCAAACCAAACTGATCAGAAACACTTGAACAAACATCAGAGAGATCAGAACGAGCTGAAACGACAGAAACATCTTTACAAACATTTCATTAACGTCTACTTTGGCCCCTCCCATCTTTCTGAACATTACTGGAAACAGCTTCACACACTGTGGGGGTTTTCTGCTGACTTCATTCGACACACACACACACCCACACACACACACACACACACCCACACACACACACACACACACACACAGGGGTTTGTAAAGTACTTGTAAAAGATGTTGTCATACTTTTTTATCTCTTTTGTATTTTAGCTTTTAGCTTTATCTTATCTTGAGTAGTTGAATGTTCTCTGTTAAATTTCATCACAAAGTTTTTCCTTGTTCCTCGTGTTGGTTCTGATTTGTGTTGTTGACTCACAGACTCCACCCCCAGAATTATAAAACACTTCCTGCTCTCAGGGTCATTTATTCATCCAGGGTCCAATCACAAAGCTTTAACTTCCTGCCTGTGGTAAACCCTGTCATCGGCTGAATCCACAGGTGAGGGTGCTGGTCTGGACCACAGAGAGCAGGCTGTTGTCATGACGCTCTACGTCTGACATGTGACCTGACACACGTGACCAAAGGATGATAGAACTGTTTCAGAAAAACACGAATGCAAACACTTTGGAGGAAACGGTCCGGGACAATTATTATTTTATCATATTGTTAATATTATTATATTATTATTACATTGAACTGTGAACATGTGTTTTTGATTCCATCTGACCTTAAAGGGACATTTTAATATTCACTCATGATAAAACTACATCATGTGTTGTGATCAGACTTCTTTCAACTCTGGTTTCACTTACTGCTCATCTATCATTTTATTATTTTATCTTGATCCTTTTCTTATCTCTCTCAGTACTTTATCAGTTTATATTATCAGATCCATGAGCTTCCTGTCGAGGTTGAAGACACAGTCTCAGGTGAAACAACATATTTAGAACACGATCAGACGCTCACTCCTTTTCTCTGGTTGATAATTCAGAGTTTTACATAAAGTCAAGTTTAAAAAGCCTCAGAGAGGAGGAGAAGGTGATGATGTGCAGATGAGGCTGCTCTCCATGTGGAAGAGTTTTCCCCTATTTCCACAGCTACACTCACCTTGACTACAATCACTACAACCACTTCAACCACTACAATCAACCACTACAACCACTACAACCACTACAATCAACCACTACAATCGCTACAATCGCTACAACCACAGGACGAGATCTCTTCCTTCTTTTGACTGAAAAACTCCACAAATACTTTCAATCCCTATTAAATACTTTGTATTAAATACTTTGTGGGATTGAAAGTATTTAATACTGCGCAGGATCAATCTGATACATGTTTACAGTACACTCACTGAAGTGATGAACAGTATTTTTTACTTCAGTTTATCAAAACATTCAATCAAACACATTTTGAGAAAGAGTCCCCGGAAGTTGATGGTTGTGACCTCACTGACCTGAGCCTCTGGGCTGCTGTGATTGGACGACATGCCTGGTAGTCAGCCTATGGGGAGATGGGGTGTTCCCTAAACCTCAGCACCGATTGGTCAGATTAGAGATGGGGGCGGTGCCTGGACGTTCTTCGATCCTGTGACCAAAGATGTGTAAGGTGAGAGATCTCCCACTCTGACTGTTTTTCAGATACAAGTC